ATAGTTGGTTAGAGCGCGGTGCTCATAACACCAAGGTTGCTGGTCCCATCCCCACATAGGCTACTGAGCTGTGCCCTCCACAACTAGACTGAAACAGCTACTTGACTTGGAACTGGTGGTCTTGGAAAAACACACTGTTCCCCAATTTAAAAACAACAACAACAACAAAGACTTAATCAGTGGAGAGAATTTTTATTAATTCTAAGATAAGTTTTAGTGATTAAATGATCTTTAATCTTGTCTTTTCCAATTTGTTTTGCTGTAGAAATGCTCCAAATCACATGGAATTAACATTGATCGATAAGCCCAACAATAAAAAGAAAATATGTAATCAGAAAGAAAGCCCTAAAAGAAAAGATCATGAAAAGTTATTACAAAATGCACTTCCTGTAATAGGAGTTTGGGAATTTGAACGTGATGATGATGAATATATTAAATTCCTTGATCTCTTCTTGAGTTATGTTCTTGAAAGAGACCTACTTGATTCCAAGGATCCTGGCATTCCATTTCTAACCAGTTTTTCTGGACATCTTAAAGAACATGAACTTAATTCTTTACTTTTTGATGTACATACAACGTTGAAACGACGTCAGGGCAAAACCAAAAGCCAGAATGTATTTAGAGCTGGCTCCTGCTTTGCTGTTGCTCCAGAGACACACGAGTCTGAAAAATTAGAAAGCCAGGCACTTGCAGGTTCAGCCCTGGTTCATGAAGGGAGCAGACGTTTTTTAGAGAATGCTTTGAATGAAGTTCATAAAAATGAAGAGAAGAGTGGATTGTTTGGTTTAAAACAAAAGTCAATTTACAGAATACAAGATGACAATGCAGAGAAACCTTTAATCCAGAGATTGTCAAACCATATTTTTTGGACTCCCATTCCCACTAAAACTACAAGATGTGTTTTCAAAGCAATTCAAAACGATGATGTTATCCCTCAAGAAGACCTTCCTCTAGCACTGAATAACACACTTGACAGCATAAGAAGGCTGCTGGAATGGATGATAAGATGGTCTGATAGAAGAATGCTCTGTGATCCTGGTCTGACTGAGTCATCCAGTGAGTACAGCCCTGTCATTCGTGTAAAGACCTCTTCAGCTGCCATCCTTACATCACTGTGGCTTTTGGAACAACCCTATTTTGCTGCATATAATGCAAAAAATGCCATTATTAAGGTCAGCACTTGAATTGTTTACTACATACAAATGAGAGTTCTAATTTTAGGTTAAAACTGTATGTATATTGCTTCATTTTTAAAGAATCACTAAGAAAGTAAGTTAATGACAATGCTGATTATAATATGTATCACCTAACTTGTTTTTTCTTCAAGTGATTAATTCTTAAAAGTAACTAATTAGGGCAAAAGTGCTTTCATAGANTATGTCAAGGCTTCTTCTCTTGGGTAGCTTTCAATATACTGGGAAACATACATAAATCAGTACAGAGTAAATTAGTGGAAGCTGTGATGGAGGTGCCATCGTAGCAGAGTGGGAGGACTTTACAGGGGAGGTGACATTGAAAATGCGAGTAGGATTTTTCCAGGGAGAGGAAGGAAAAAGGCATTTTCCTCGAAAGGAGCTCTCACTAACATTCCACCAATGGAGTCAGGAGTGGTGGCCTTTAACTGTTGTAGGGAAGATTTGGGATTAGGGTCAGTTAGGCCCTTTTCATTGTCTGAGGGGAGAGAAAATTGCTTGACACTAGAAATAGCTCTAGTTGAAGTCTCTTGAGGCCATGCCTCAAATTTTTCTTTATAAATCTCTAGGAACATTCTAGTTTGAGAAATACTATTTTTATTTTCACTTTAACACTTAACATTTTTATATTACTAGCTATTAAAATTGATTTATTTTCTCCAGGAAGATGGTGATGATCTTCTTTTAAAGGCTGAAAAAGGTAATCGCCAAAAGCTGTCTGGAATCCTTCAGCGTGTCCTCCTGCTTCTCCGGGCAGCGCAGTGTTCTTTTCCTGTAGCTCAGTGGTACATCTTGCGGTTGAGATGGGCCCGAAAAGTCATGCAGAAGGTATGGAGATGCCTCAGTCATTTAAGTGCCATGCTAAACAATTTAAATATACTAAGATTTATTGATACTTAATAATTGTGACATTTTCTCAAGGAGCCCTGCCCTGTAAATCCATAAATATCATGTTTATTTGTAATAAAGCAACCTCAACATACCAGGTTCTCTCTGCTGAAAGATAAGGGCTTTGAAATGGGTCTCTATGTTAGTCCCACCCTGTCTGGCAATAAAAAGAATGAGCTAATCAGTTAATTCCAGGTAATTCCAGTTACTTTTCCCCCAACAATAACTGAAGACTTAAATTCAATTCAGGGTTTTTCCTCACTTCTGGAGGTGTCATATATGCTCAGTGGGAGCTTATGTGAGGTGAAACCATGGGAAGTTAGAGTTAGCTCTTAGCTATGTATTTCCTTTCGGTAGTCCCCACCGGTCAGTCTTCCTCCAGCTGTCTTCTGAGACGTGCAGTTCATTTTGATTTTCGGGCTGTCCTCTCCTTCTATACTGACTTCAGCTGAACTGTAGCTGTGTTCTTATCTGATCTGCAGCCAGATGGGACATCTCCTCCGATGTCCCTTATCCAGCTGCAAGTCCTTTGAAGGGCCTGTTTTCTGTTTCTCTGTGAAATGTGGAAGAAAATATTATTAACCTCAAATACCTTTAATTTGGCCCTTGATTAAATTACATTTAAAGCAAGAATCTA